TGACAGGAAGTGATGCGGGTCAGTATTTTTGTTGTGTGTGGTGTGAACAGTCGCTCATCACCATCTGCAGAGGATACTGTGGTTTCGGTTATCTCGCCTCTCTGCATCTTTCAGCAAATGATACAGTACTTTCACACACACACCCAGACCTCTGACATATTACTTTAGAGTATTTTAGTGTTATATTAGTTTGTTCATATATGAGCACACATACAGTATATTCTGACTTACCAGGTTTAATTTCCAGGTAAATCTCTCTCTTATAATCATAACTTCCAAATCCCGTCTTTACACCACACCAGTATTTGCCTTGATCCTCTGTTCTCAGATCAGTGATGGTGACGGTGAAGATCCGGGCTGTTTTATTGTCAGTCAGAGAGAATCTCTTATCTTTAGCTGCTGATTCAGATTCAACAGGTTTGTCTTTAATAATCACTATTGGACATTCTCCTCTGCAGAGATACTTCTTCTGTTCTTCATATCCAGACTCATATGGACACTGTATCTCAACGTTCCCTCTTTCATGTGCAGTGAAAGTCAAGATCTCACTCGTCTCACATGCCCAGACTATAAAAACATGAAGAGAGAGAAACAGCTCAGTGCAAACATGGACCTGATTGAGAACAGACAGACTGTTAGAGAGACACAGAATAACTCTCACCTGACACGAGGAGCAGCAGGTGAAATATGAGGAGTTTATCGTCACAGATCTGAATCATTCTGCTTTATCTGTGTGCAGCTGCCAGTCTCTATTAATGAAGAGCTCAATCTCAAGATCTCTCTCTCTCTCTCTCTCTCTCTCTCTCTCTCTAATACTGTGTCTGCACCAGGAGCTCCCTCTATTGCTATCTTAATTAATTAAATCGTACATTTACATATATTAATCTAGCAGACACAAATAAATTCAGCCTAGTGCTTAGACGAGATCAAGGACTTTTAAGCACACATGAACATGAATTAATATATAATTCATCAAGTCACCGACACTGATCATAGCCAAGAGACAGCAAGCATCATTCAAATCCATTGTACTTTGTTTTGCATATGTGAGCACTTATGGTCCAATTATTGCATGTGTGAGCACTTATGGTCTAATTATTACTTTGACATTGTATACTACCAAAGTGCATATTTGAGCTATTTATTTATTCATTTAATTGATCATGCAAATATGACTTTTGAATTAAAAGTTACCTTTATTATTATTGTTTAATTAAATTTGCATTTTATCTCTTCATGTGGAATTTATTGTAAAAGGCGAGACATTGTTATTCCATAGTGTGCAGATGCATGTACATTCACTTATATAGGCCTACAAACAAGCTTGTAGTGCAGGGTATAGGGGTGAGTCTATTTTAAAACCATAATTTTCATATATGGAAAAAAATGAGATTAAAAGACCAAACTGAGCAAAAGAAACTTGGATGAACATCAATACAGTATTGCCTCAAATAGCAGGCATCAGGGTCCAAGCTCAAGTGGCTGTAGATATGGCGATAATTGGCATATATCTTTCCAAATGCAATGGCATACTTTCACACAGCAGCATAATATGTTATCAGCCCTGTATTTGAGTCCTTAATATGGTTATGTGCACTTTGAAGCTTCAAAACCTTTATGAAACATTTGTTTTAACCAGTGAATTGGAGCATGTATCAAAGTGCGAAACTTGATTTCAGTAAACGAGTCTTTGTTACGTCATAATTGTGTCGAAATGTTTTGAAATTTTAAATGTTCAGCGCTAAGGGTCGATGATCTCCAGTGTTCATGGTTTTTATCTGATCTTATATACATTTTATACATGCATATACATTTTAATGGCACATCTGTATAATGAAAAGGAAGATTATCAGTTAATAGTCTCTGATTGGTCTGTTTAGCCAAGCTCCAGCAAACCAATAAAAGTACACATATTATAAATCTCACATTTAACAGTATTATGTGATTTGTTAATTGCATTTAATAGATTTCACTTCCAACAAAACATTTGGATTTTGAAAGGTGTTTTTATGGAAGTTTGGGTTAAGTTTTCATTGCATTTACACCGTTTTGATCAGCAGGCATCACCAAAACATTGAATAATTTTGCAAAGCAATTAGTTCAACTGATTCAAAATCTCAAAAACATTCATTTCTCCAATCACTATGGTCACATTTACAAACAGTTCAGTTATTTACGGAAGTGATAACCACTTCCGATTGGGAAACTGTCAGCAGGCATTTGCTTTTTCCACTTATTGATTTCTTCTCAATTGGTTAGGTTCATTATTCTACAAGACTCAAAGGCTCATTGTTGATATGGAATAAATAAAAGTCCATTAGATTCAGATATATAACCAAACAGTTTAACTGTTAATCAACCTGGTGTCCATGAATCTTCACAGTCTTTTATGGACTGAGAGTTGCAGTGTCGCTTGTTTCCAGCCATTCTGAAGTCTTGTCTGAATGGTTTGTATTTTGAAATATGACGGTGGAGTAGGCGGGAGCATTATAGGAGTCACATTCATCAAATACAGGAAGGCCCAAACTGTAGCCAGATTGATTATCTGTGCAAATGATCTCTTCAAAATGACAGACAATATGAGTGGCCTAAAATAAGCGAAGACAGTCACCAGAGTAAAAACACACTTGAGATGAGCAACAGTATGGTCAGCAGAGGTAAAGATGATAAGAATCCACAAATAAGTGGTTAGAGAGAGTGCTAGAGATTGAGATCCACCTCAAACGGACACATGATGAAACTCACTTCTTCAGTGGACAGATTTTCAGCCGAGACAAGAACATCGCCTTGCAGCCACACTGCTGTTTTGTGACACCAGATTGAGATTAAACATATTAAAGGCCTTTAATTTGACAAGATGTCCAGTTATGAAAGTGCCATAGTGTGGCAAATGAAAGATGATCAAATAGTCTCAACATGTGTGTGTGTGTGTGTCTGAGAGAGTGAAAAGAGTGTTACCTTCTTTCTTTCGTCTGAATCTGTAGTAAATTAACAATAGCAATCCAAATATGATCAATATCCCCATAACTGACAGTATAAAGATTGATGTGAAATCTTGAAAAACAGACAAAAACATCTAATAAATGTCTCTAAATGTCCTGTTTTACGTGGAACTTGAGAAACAAATGTCTCTGCATATTTAATCAGACACTTTGAGCAACAGAATTGATCGCACCTGTTTGTGGTTTTGATGACACTGCATTAGCAGTCGATGAGAAAAACATTAACACTGATGTTGATGGTGAAGATGATGATGAAGATGAGACGGTTCTGTCAGATGCAGTATCTGCTGTCGCTGGTGTGAAATGAAGCTGTTGTTGTTGGTTTAGGTGACATCCTCTCTGATGTGACAAACACAAATCATTAGGTTTAATTCATGAGGTCACGTTCACATAATATATAAATGATGACATCCACATAATCAGTGTGGCAGGCTGTAGTTTATACAGTTATTGCAGATATTGTGGGAATAAAAAATACTTTAGACTCTAAAACCAATGCTTTTGTATATTTCAATAGAAATAATTATATGCAGTTTCATTTTACAGTGGCACAAGGTCATGTGACCACTTTAGTGACTTGGCCTATGAATAAGCTGTTATTAACCCTTCACTGATGTCTGGGGTGTGGTGGAAATATGGTCTATGTGACCAGCAGTGTTTGTTCAATACAGTCCTATACAAGCAAACTGTTATTTAGGTAACTGATTTTACAATGAGATTCTGCTTTTAAATGAAACATAAAACTTGGTGACGGTGTCTTACCTGCAGTAATGTTCAGATCAGTGACTGAAATCCACTTGTTCTTGTGCCCTTGTCCTCTCTGTACAGCTGCACACCAGTATATCCCAGAATCCTCTTCTGTCAGCTCAGCGATGTACACAGTAAAAACTCCTGCAGATGCATTATCGCTCAGAGAGAATCGTCCATTACTGTGTTTCTCTGATTTTTGTTGTGTGTGGTGTGAACAGTCACCATCTGCAGGGGATACTGTGGTTTCTGTTATCTCGCCTCTCTGCATCTTTCAGCACATGATACAGTACTGTCACACACGCAAACAGACCTATCTTATATTTATTTTGAGTATATATTAGTTGTATTATGTTTTACACCATATACAGTATATGAGCACACATACAGTATATTCTGACTTACCAGGTTTAATTTCCAGGTAAATCTCTCTCTTATAATCATAACTTCCAAATCCCCCCTTTACACCACACCAGTATTTGCCTTGATCCTCTGTTCTCAGATCAGTGATGGTGACGGTGAAGATCCGGTGAAGATCTGTTTTATTGTCAGTCAGAGATAATCTTTTGTCTTTAGCTGCTGATTCAGATTCAACAGGTTTGTCTTTAATAATCACTATTGGATATTCTCCTCTGCAGAGATACTTCTTCTGTTCTTCATATCCAGACTCATATGGACATTATATTTAAATTTTCCCTCTTTCATGTGCAGTGAAAGTCAAGATCTCACTCGTCTCACATGCCAAGACTATAAAAACATGAAGAGAGAGAAACAGCTCAGTGCAAACATGGACCTGATTGAGAACAGACAGACTGTTAGAGAGACACAGAATAACTCTCACCTGACACGAGGAGCAGCAGGTGAAATATGAGGAGTTTATCGTCACAGATCTGAATCATTCTTTTGAACCAAATATTGCCATTCCATGCGGTGTGTAAAAAATGGGAAATTAAAACGCTGGCATTTTTTTCCCTAAACAGTCCTTTGAAATCATTTTTTTTTTTATTCCAAGCCAGTGTGGAGAAATCATTGTCAGAGGGGTTTTTGGGTAAATGTGCCGTGTCATAAACTGTGTTTAATCTGATAGGTTTCTGAGCAGACGGGTGTAATGATGTGTTTCCAGAGTCTGGGATTAGTTTATCGTCACAGATCTGAATCATTCTTTTGAACCAAATATTGCCATTCCATGCGGTGTGTAAAAAATGGGAAATTAAAACGCTGGCATTTTTTTCCCTAAACAGTCCTTTGAAATCATTTTTTTTTTTTATTCCAAGCCAGTGTGTAGAAATCATTGTCAGAGGGGTTTTTGGGTAAATGTGCCGTGTCATAAACTGTGTTTAATCTGATAGGTTTCTGAGCAGACGGGTGTAATGATGTGTTTCCAGAGTCTGGGATCGTTGCATAATAAGCAGATGAAACTACCTGAAAGGGACAGATTTATTATTTTAATCAAATAGCATCTGGGATTACCAGTTCTATTATGGTTTTTTTATCTTTTTGAATTACTTCTGTAATTGAACACCAATATTGTTTTACAGTGTTTGGCAAATTCTGTAGTCATGCTAATAGATAAACATCATCATCTCCTGTGTTCCTCTGATCTGATGAGCCTGAGCCTATGGATGGGCAAAATGATGAAAGTGAACATACAAGAATACAGAAGTTAAAAACATTTTAGCATCCCGTTTGGTTTCAGAGCATTTGTTTTTGCACCTTGTGTTTTTTTACACCTCCGCTTGAGCAACAACACACTCAGTCCTCCGGCTAACAACAGAACCAAACACACACACACTATAATGAAGACATGGAGATCTGGAAAACACACACACACACCGCATTAAAAATAACACTCAAGCAGTCTGATATACAGCGTTATCATGGCCAGCGGGGAATATTAGGGAATATTTGACCACTGAATGCCATGACTGACAAATCAGAATCAAGTATTTCACAGAGCCATGTACACTGAACAAAATTATAAATGCAACACTTTTGTTTTTGCCCCCATTTTTCATGAGCTGAACTCAAAGATCTAAGACTTTTTTCATGTACACAAAAGGCCCTCATGAAAAATGGGGGCAAAAACAAAAGTGTTGCGTTTATAATTTTGATCAGTGTAATTAGATGCATTATACAATACTTTCACAACCAGAATGTACATTTTCCATTTGTCATTTTTTTCAGCACAAAATTCTGTGCTTTTGTTTAAAATCTGCTTGCCTGTATGAATAATGTTTGTATACTAAATTTGGTTGTCTAATTTCACCATCTTAAGCCACATTAAGCATTTTCTTCATAATCTTAAGCCACATTAAACGTTTTCTTCATAATGGATTTCTGTGGAAAACACTTATTGTGATATTTAGCGTGTTTTATTCATATTCTGGGCTCATTTGTTCATCTGTATATGGTTTGTATACTGAATTTGGTGTTTTAATATCTTACTACATGAGCGCTATATATATTTATGTTTGTGAGTGAGTGCTATTGAAGAACTCACCAGACTGTACTGAAGCATCTCTTCGCTCTAGATTTTCCACTGGAATTTAAATGTCTATATCATCCACGGATTACATTGTTTATCTGACATTATGTGTGCATGTCATATTCAGTTTGTTGTTAACCGTTTCTCACCTGTAACATGAAGCTGAATCTCTGTGAAAAGCAGACTGTAGCCGATGTTTGAAGGATTGTTTTTCACGTGTGCTCCACAGAGATACACCCCATCATCATGTCTGCTCACGTTAGCAATAGTCACAGTAAAAACATGCTCCTGTTTGCTCTCATCCAGAGAAAATCTCGGATTGCTTCCATGTGTAAAATAAGATTGTAGTGATCCATTCTGGAGTTCAAACAGCTGCTTGATACAATCTTTATATCTCTCTGGATATTCACAGCGAATGACAGCAGTTCCTCTTAAATAAGCAGTCTGTTCCTCTGATGTCCCACAACACATCTCTGAATAGTGTAACATTGTGTTGGCGTCATGTTGTAACGGCCAAAACTATGTTTTTGCATGCATCACATTATAGTGTGGTGTGCCCTTTAAGAGACTGATCACTTAACTTATAACGCGCGCTATGTGGTGATGACGTAGAAGGACTACGTGCCTGTGTAATGAGAACCACTATGGATGATAAGTTCGCTCTGCCTTCTTGTTATTACTTTGTCTTTACTTTTATTTGTAACGCCCAGAAAGAGTTAATCTCTCATGTATGAGAGGAGCGCGTTGCCGTGTACCAGCCATTAAATGTGTGGGACACCAACTCTTCGTTTCCATCTCTTTCATTTCATGGGTTTAACGAGTTATCCGAGTCAAAGCGTTACAATTGGCGCCCGAACAACTGAAGCTGGATCCGTCATCTATGTGGAATCTACCACAGCATCATCAGCATAACCCATGTGACCTGTCAATCAAAATTAACTTCCTCTTTTAATAAGGGCCTTATGATCATATACTAACAGCAAACTTGCACAAATAAAGACAAAAGGCCAACACATAAACACACAAGCTCTCTCTCTCTCTCTCTCTCTCACACACACACACACGATTTGATCTCAGCTGAGTAAAGAGTAAAAAAGAGCTGTCACATACAGGTTGATACTGTAATAAAAACAGCATCTTACCTTTAATCAGGCAGATTGTGAAGAAGAGAAGGGTCTTCATCATCATCACTGATGATAAAACTCTTGCTCCTGTGAATCTATAACTTCTTTGGCAGTCAGAGATGCAGTGAGTTCTTCCGTCGTGTCTGATTTTGTGTCTCTATCTTGCGCTCTTAAATACTTTTTATAAAACAAAGAGCTCTACCTCTTCCTTTTCCTCTTTGATAAACTCTTCTGACTCACAGTGATGAAATACAGTCATGCTGTCAATGACTCACAGTGGAGTTAAATCAGAGAGTGACCATGAGTATCTTCCTGACTTTTAGCTCCTGTGCAGGTCAAAAAGCTTCTGACACACAAATTAGCATCAGTGAGCCAGCACCATACTTCACAGTGGGGATGATATTCTTTTCACTACAGGCCTTGTTGACTACTCTCCAAACATAGCGCTTATGGTTTTCAGAGGTGGAACCCTCTGATAATCAAACATCATGAAGTGATTTTTCTTTCGTTTATAGACTGACAATCAGCTATTACTGAGCTGTAAAATAAAATATATATATTAATCAAGTCACTCTATAGAGGCACAGGCTTTTAGACATGTACACTTTTATCATATGATCCTCAACAGTGGTGACAATAATTATTCATACTGCAGTGCATGATGGGAGTTTTTACTATGGCGTTACCCAGCATGCATTGCAGCATGAAGCCTTTTGTTGGTTGTCACCATTGTTGAGATTCATATGCTGGTTCTTGAAGACTGTGTGTGTCTACACAATTCTGGATTTCGAATTTTTATATGCATTACATAGATTTAAAATTCATTCACTATATCTTAAAGTTGCACTTTGTTTGCACGGTGTAGTTTCACAGGTCTGATGCAAATCCTAAACATATAAATTAAATAAACAAGAAGCTTATTTGATTTGTGTAATCAGGCCAGCTCATAATGACTATCTCATTACATAAAACCAGCTAATAGCTGCTCACTGTTCAACAACTCATGCATTACTACACAGAAGGATCAGTCAATTGTCAAGAGTACATCTAAAGCAAACACTGATCTCCATGATGGTGCCATCATTTTAACCAATAAAACATCAACATCTGATCCTCTGTAATTCTCAATAACAGCAGGTGTTCATCACTAATGCACAATCGTCATTTAATTACTCACTTAATTATCTCATTAACTTTAACTCTTTGAGGACTTGGGATATGACTTGAAGACTTGCTTGTGACTCGAAAGTCCCACCTCTCACTGTTGTGAACATAAAGCTCTATTTTGGTCTCGTCACTCAAATCACAGTGTACCAGAAGCTGTAAGGCATGTTAAGGTGTTGTCGGGCATATTGTAACCAGGCTTTTTTGTGGCATTGGCGTAGTAAAGGCTTCTTTCTGGCAACTTGACCATGCAGCTCATTTTTGTTCAAGTACAATCGTATTGTGATAACAACCACACCATCTTTTTCCAGAGCAGCCTGAATTTCAGTTGAGGTTACACGTGGGTTTTTCATTGTATCCCACACAATTCTTCTTGCAGCTGTGGCTGAAATCTTTCTTGGTCTACCTGACCTTGGCTTGGTATCAATAGATCCACAAATTCTTCACTTCTTAATAAGTGACTGAACAGTACTGACAGGCATTTTTAAGGCTCTGGATAACTTTTTATATCCTTTTTCGTTTTTATGAAGTTCCACTACCTTGTTACGCAGGTCTTTTAGGATAGTTATTTTCTGCTCCCCATGGCTCAGTTTCGAGACTGATCAGTGCATCGACTTGAGAGCTAACAAACTCAATGACCATTTTTTACACAGACACTAATAGCAACTTTAAAAGTCACAGGTGTGGGGAATTAACCTTTAATTGCCATTTAAATGTGTGTGTCACCCTGTGTGTCTGTTACATAGCAAAACATTCAAAGGTATGTCAACTTTTGATCAGGGCCATAATCAGAGGCGGACAATCCAGGGGTCAGAAAGTAAAAGTCCTGCCATATGTTTATTCCACCCATGAACTCAGCAGCTGATTTCACCAGAGGAGGACCACGTCATTCCTTTCAAGTCACAAACGAGTCTCGAGTTAAATCCCAAGTCCTCAAAGAGTTAAAGTTAATGAGATAATTAAGTGACTAATTAAATGATGATTGTGCATTAGTGATGAACAGCTGCTGTTATTGAGAATTACAGAGGATCAGATGTTGATGTTTTATTGGTTAAAATTATGACACCATCATGGAGATCAGTGTTTGCTTTAGTTGGGCTCTTGACCCCTTGAAGTAATACAGAGTTAGTTGCTTTTAAACAATTACAGTATTGTTTGCCCATAAACATTTGTGCAGACGCACATTGCCAACTTAAAAGCTTGAGAAAGCAGCTTACATGTTCTGCTTTTAACTCACTTGAGTGACTATTGTGAAGGTGTCTCTCTTTGGTTTATAGACTAACATTCAGCTGTTATAGAACAAAAAAAAAGGCCCATCAAACAAATGCAACCATGATGCTTAAATATTGAAAAAAAAGAGCTAATTTTTTGCTCAGGCTTTTAGACATGAGCATTATCATATGATCCTCAACAGTGGTGACAATTATTCATGCTGCAGTGCATGATGGGAGGTTTTACTATGGTGTTACCCAGCATGCATTGCAGCATGAAGCATTTTGTTGATTGTCACCATTGTTGAGATTCATATGCTGGTTCTTGATGTCTGTGTGTGTCTTCAACATACTGGCAATAAATTAATTACATGCATAATGTAGATTCAACATCAATTCGAAATAACTGTTAGAGACAGACTGCCATTGTACACTGTACTTTATCAACATTAGTTATTCAAACTGTAAACACATAAAAATAAAAGGCTTGGATTTGAACCGATTGACCCCTGATAATTTTCTCATCATTTGATAACAGCTAACAGCTGTTAACACAAAGTACTGATCTCACTGACTTCTAACACCATGTGCATTAATTACAAAGAGAGACCTGAGACAAGAAGTCAAGGGTCAAGAGCACAACTAAAGCAAACACTGATCTCCATGATGGTGCCATCGTTTTAACCAATAAAACATCAACATCTGATCCTCTGTAATTCTCAATAACAGCAGGTGTCCATCACTAATGCACAATCGTCATTTAATTAGTCACTTAATTATCTCATTAACTTTAACTCTTTGAGGACTTGGGATTTGACTCGAGACTCGTTTGTGACTTGAAAGGAATGATGTGGTTCCTCCTCTGCTGAAATCAGCTGCTGAGTTCATGGGTGGAATAAACATATGGCAGGACTTTTACTTTCTGACCCCTGGATTGTCCGCCTCTGACCATAATAAATGGGATAATAAATGGCTTCATATGATCACTATTCTTAAATAAAAGACAGTTTAAAAGACTATAGAAAATAAAAGACTGGCAATATCACTCATATATTCAAAATCAATGCCAAAATTTCACAATTTCTACCAGGGTATGCAAACTTTTGAGCAAAATTGTACATTATAATTGAAGCAAATAAAGTGAAATAAAATAAACACTATAAATGAACAAATGTTTATTTGTTTTTGTTTTCTTTCCACTAGGCTGAAATAAGACGTTATGGAGGCAAAATAGACCAAAATCTCAAAATTGAGAAGTGCATGAAAAAACAAAGGGTTAGTTCACCCAAAAATGAAAATTAGCCTGTGTTTTACTCACCTCGAAGCATCCTAGGTGTATGTGACTTTCTTCTTTCAGACAAATCCAATCGGAGTTATTTAAAAAATTGCCCTGGCCCCTCCAATCCTTTCAATGATGATAATCGGGTATTTGTTGTCAACAGTTCAGAAGACGTGAAATAAAGTGTGTGCATCCATAATAAAATGTACCTCACAAGGCTCCGGGGGGTGAATAAAGGCCTCATTTAGTGAATCCATGCATTTTTGTAAGAAAAATATCCATATTTAAAATGTTAGCATAGATGTAGGGAGGGCTTTATTGTCACAATAAGGTGGCATCCGTTCAATAATTTGAATTTACACTCAATACGTTATTACTGCATACGGTTTTATAATGTACTATAATACTGAGGTGCAGATAATTGCCACTATATGCAATAAGTAGTATAAATAGCAGAAAATTCTGCTATTTTAACATACTGTAAATAGAATCTATCGCTATTTGCACTTAGTGTAAATAGCATATTGTTAAAAACACTGCTATTTTCACTTAGTGCAAATAGCCGCTGCCAACAAGGGGAGGTAAGACACCCTTTCCCTGCTGCTATACAAAGCCCATAAACTGCCAGGATGTCAATATCGCCAGTATTCCCATCTCCAAAGTGCAGAAGTGCAAACATGTGAAGACATGTGCTGACACCAAACAAAAACAAGAGCTCCTGGGCCTGGCCAATGAAAACTCACAGGCCAGGCGCTCAACAAAATCACACAAAACTAGTCAAAAGCGGACAGTAAGGGAATGAACCCACAACATATATGTGCTCCAAACATATAAAAAAAAAGATGGACAGGCACTAAACTGAAACTAAACTAGACCAGTGCTGGACACCAAGCTTCACACACACACACACACACACACACACAAACAAAAGCTAAAAAAAAGAGGTTCAAGTAACCTTAGGCTTTGCCTCAAACACAGAAGTTGTGCTTGTTAAAGAGGACATCAGATGGCCATTTTCGAGAAGCTGGTATAATTATTTAGGGTCTTCATTAAATGTCTGCAACATACTTTGGTTAAAATTCCTCAATGGTCGTGTAAAACAACACAATTTTTACCTTGTCAAAAACAGCTCTGTTCACAGCAACCCGTTTCCGTGCATGTCTTTTGTGTTTGAAATATTCAGTACTTATTTACATCAAACTGACCAAACAATCAATGGTTTGTGATCAATTGTTTTAGTGTAATTTCACGAGTTCACACTTACATATAATGAACAGAGTAAAGGTTATGCGTATATGGCGTGCTGTACGGGGAGAGGGCTCCGAGCTCGGTAATTACTCTCGAGCCTGGGGTACTTCTCCTGTCTGGGGAGACGGGTCCGAGCTCGGGTTTAAGCCCGAACCCAGAGCGCTCCCCCAAAGATGCAATTAGTACGGGACAGCAGCCAGAGAGGAACGTTGATAACCCCCCAAAATTTGCAAAGCTTAAAATTGGTGGGGTGCTGGATGTCGCTTGTAGTAGTGGCACTGCTGAGGCTTTAGAAGGGAGAACTAGAAGCTTCTGCTGAAGCGGGTGCTGCAGCATCTGAAAAGAGAAAGTGGCTTCTGCGGAAGCGGCTACTGCTGTGGCAGTGTGGGAATTTAGGTAAGGCTCCTGCAGGAGCGGGAACTGCTGCGGCAGTGGGGAAATATGGAAAAGCTCTTGCGGGAGCA